GTATATTGCACGTATATTTTGCGTACGTTTGTGATGAATACGCATACTTGTGAAAAGTTAAGTGATGTGGAACTTGAAAATTCGTAAGCTACAGTAATTAGTTTAATTATATGCCTATTTCATGTAGAAAAATCCTATAGTATTTTGAATTCTATGTTAAATTTTCACTGTCCAATTCTTAGATAACTTTTTAGTACATTTTTATACATCAGCATAATTTAATCGTAGAAGAGCGTAATAGACGGTTAATATTTTGAAAATACTTTTGTGATTCGATATTTAGCATTCTAATATACTAAAAGTTATTATATGGAACAACTCATCTCAAAATACCAAAAATCATGTAACTCAGCCATAGTCCTCAAAGATATTTTATATTATAGATTCCATCATATAAGAGATCTTACCAATCTTCTTCCCTGGGTCTTTAGCAGAATACTCTATATAAAATCATTCCTAATCTTATGTTTCTTTGTCTTAGCAAATACCTTAGACTACATGGGATATCAAAATTTTTATGCTGAGAAATAAATTAAAAAAGCAACAAACAAAAAGAAGAAAAACATGATAAATTGTATCATTACTAAGAACAAATATTAAAAAAACTCATTATTAGAATGAAAAACGTGTACTTTGCAAAGAAATTTAAACAAACTTTATATTAGTGTCTATTGGGACAAACAAATCAGTATCCAAACATAATTGAGATATTGATAATTTGATAATTTTTGTTGCTGCTTTTCTTAGCCAATATAATTAACGTAAAGAGGTTTCCTTATGAACAAGTCTTACATATACCCAAGTTAAATTTGATAGATTTAGTTGATCGCGTATATATCAGAATTCCTGGGTTAAATTCCTATTTTATTTATTACAACTCGTCATCTTAGCGGGTGTATTTTCAGTTTTGTCCTTTTCTTGTGAAGATTTATGTAAATAATTAAGGGCATATTTTAATGATATTTTCGTCGTTCAACATTTAGCTTTTAACATTCGTACTTTATAATAAATATAGAAGATAATAAAAGTAAACTTAATAAAGGATTCCTACAAACAAAAAGGAATTGAAAGTGCTTGTAACTTTTAGCCACAATCGGTTAAAATCTAAATGTACTCAATAATGACGTGGTGAGGAGTAGTCCAAAACAATAGTCTCCTAAAAGAATTTGACTCAAAAATAATTTTGTAGGCTTGTTGTATGTGTAGTTTAAATCGAAAAAGAATTCTATTATTAGGTAATTTACCCATTAGATCCTCAAATTATACAAATATTTAAGGGCATAAAAGTCGATCAATATTTTAGGGATATTTTAGTCGTTCAACATTTAGCATAAATTATTCGTGCTTTTATAATAACTAGGCTCTATGTTCGCGCGATGCACGAAATATCTCGTGTCAAAAGTGATAAACTTTCAATCTTGTATCTAATCAAGCGGCTTCGCTCCATTACAACTTGCTCGAGTAGCTGTTAACATAGGTCTAATTTATCGACATGTGTTTTTGTAAATTCAAAAGGCTGAAACTTGATTTGGTTTAGGTTATGTTATTCGGCTTAAATCTCTTTTAATGATAGGATTAAAAAAGAAGGTTAAAATATGTGCTACAAGGTACTCATCAACATTGTGTCTTCTTTTCCATGAAAGCAAAAAGTATTCAATTGATCCTTTTAATTATTTTTATCAATTCTTTTTGATAAAACATGATTAATTTTAATTTTAGACATAAAATTTTATCGAACTGAAAAAGGGTTAAAATCTGTGCTACAAGATACCTGTCAGCATCATGTCTTCTCTACCTATAAAAGCAAAAAGCATTCCATTGTTCTCTTTTAATTACTTTTATCAATTTTTTATCTTGATAAAATATGATTATGTTTTAATTTTAGACAATAAAAGCTTATCAATCATAAATTACTTGAGAAATCTGAAATAAGTCAATGACGACAAAAAAGATCAACACTTTGTAGGTTGTGATACCTATTAATATAATTAATTCAAAATGGTAAGGTCCAAGAGAATTTTGACAAATATCAACTTTATAGGGTCGCATGTGTAACTTAAACCTAATTTTTTTTTAGACTTAGGTTATTTATAATTTATCCTTAATTAAAAGTCAACTAATGTTTCCGGAATATTTCTAGATAATAAAACTTTATCAAATAAAAACTACTTGAGAAAAAGTCAGTAACAAAGAATAAAAAATAGATCAATACTTCGTTCGTTGTCATACCAATTTACATAATCCAAAACTCAAGGTTAAAAGGAATAGTCCAAAATCGATAAAGTTTCAAAAGAATTTTACCCAAAATCAACTTTGTAGGATAGGCATATGTGTAGTTTCTATTATATAGAAAAGGAAAGATGGTTGACCAAGGGCATATATGTCATTTTATAAAAATTTCATGTTTGTATTTTTTAAATGTAAAATACACGCGGACCCCACATTCCTCTAGCCACAACTCTCCTTTAAATGCACTATGCATGTGTTGATTAGACTATTTGTGCAGTGCAAATGCTCATTTCTAATCTTTTTCTCATTTTGGAAAATTATTAATTTTGTTTATAGAGACAATAAAATTAATTTTTTAAATAATACAACAACAAAAAGAAGTATCGATATTTATAAGATTTTCATATTTACCCATAGTATCTTAAAGCAATTTGATAATAAAAATTAAATAATTTTCATCTACCATATTATTCGAAGACGATTTCAAACTAAATATTTTTATATTCAAACGTAATTTTAAAATATATAGCTTAGTTAAACCTACAAAGTTAAATNTAGTCTTAGGTGATTTACCTTTATATCCTTAAACTATACAAATATTTAAGGTCATAAAAGTCGATTAATATTTTGAGGATATTTTAGTCGTTCAATATTTAGCATAAATTATTCGTGCTTTTATAATAACTAGTCTCTATGTTCGTGCGTTGCACGAGAAATATGTATTAAAAATAATAAACTTTTAATTGCTTACACTGTTGAATATGTACAAAGTACGAAGGTAATAATCAATTCCTTAAAATAAAAATTATCTAATATATAATTCGACCAAGTCATTAACAACATTTTTGACATAATATAGGATGACAAAATGGAATTAATTAAATATTTTAGAATCACAACGTTATGTGATTAAATCTGTAAACTCACTTAAAAATATAATATTATTTACTATTGTTTGTGAAGCGATACTTTACTTTAATTAAGCCTTCCGGTATACTAAAGTATTATCTGTTAAGCATTGAACTCTATGACCCTTCTTTTTTCTTTTTGCGTTGGACGTTATTCCGTTTCAATTATTACATATTTTTATGTCTAAAAATATTAGATTTCTTAGCGCCACATTCAAAACACATTTGTTTTATTATACAGAAGAAATCATACTGTACAAAAGTTATTGCTATAAATATCATGTGTCAAATATTACAAAACACGTACGAAAAATAATAAACTTTCTGTTGTGGTAAATATTTTAAAGTCTCTTATTACTGAATATGTATTTTAAAGTTCAATAATCTATATATTCTTTTAAAAAAAAATATATTATCGAAACCTACTCATTATTAAAGTTTTGACACAATCTAAAGACAAAATGGAACCGAGGATTTTGAGAATTATGTTAAAAGATTTAAAATCACTTCATGAATGCAATAAACACTTATGGAATAGGTATATTCAGAATTTATGGTCACGCTAGTTACTTAATATTTAATGATATAGGTATATGGGAGTCATATTTGTTTAGATTAAGATATAATAAAAAAACAACTATATTATTTATTACAAATCTTATATTTGAAAATTATAGATTCCGAACCACATAAATATTCTAATTCCATGTGGTGCACTTTATTTCAATCTCATGAGTCAAACCCAAACTCTATTTTTTCTAATAAATTCATTANTACGTTCGTAATTAATCAATCAACTAAGTTTAGTAAAAGTAAAAAGACATTAATTTCACATACTTAGTTTTTTTTAACTAAAAAAAAAAAAAACACTTGTTTGAATTATAAAGTAAAAAATAAACTATACAAAAACTTAATATTATTAGAGCAAAGCTACATTAAGAGAAAATAAAAAAATGCAGCAAGCAAAAAAAAGTGCAAACTTACTAAAGTACGCCATGAAGTGTTGCCTTAAAAATTACTATTTTGAAACTATCTCGAGAAGATGAAGAAGGCACACAAGGTAATTTGTATAAATCAAAATCTGCAATGCATCCTAATTGAATTAAAACTTTTTTAGAGTCTGCTAATTGCATTTGCCACTCTTGAACTTACCAAAACTGCTACTCCGCCCTGGGTGATCTAATCTTAACACTTTCGTCTAATCTTTTAACACAAAACAGGAAAATAAAAAACTGACATTTAACTACAAAAATAGTAAAACATCTAATATATTTAGAACTCAGAGATTCCACAAATAAAGTCCATGTCTCCAAAATGGCAAAATCTAATCGTGACCGACGCAGACACACCTTCAATAAGAATATACCAGAAAGAAAAGAAAATATTTAAAACATTTGTTCGGATTACTTTATTCCAGAAAGATTTAAAGGATGAAAAATAAAAAGTTAATAGCATGTTTGACCACATACAGTTTAATCAAGATTAAGTGGTGTATAACTTGCTGAAGACAAAAAAGAGAATTAACTTTAATGACTCGGTTCTACGGCGAAGAATTGAAAGATGTCTAATATTTGGTTTGTTTTGGTTCGACAATCAACTTATAGATAGATAGATATAGATATAGATACATAGATAGATAGATATAGATAGATAAAATATATATAGATGTTGATGATTGATAAATATAGATTGACGCGATGCATACACTAACGCTAGTAATGATAAAAGAAGCAAATTTATTTTCCACTTAAAAGAAGCTAGTAGGAGTAATTGATACCCTCCGCAACGTAGAAGCAGAACTTCTCGCAAGTCACGTGGCCTTGTACCAATTATAAATGTTTCCTATAACGCACAGGACGAAGTACAGAAGTTCCCAGTTTCAGTTTTTCATATTTGGCAAATCGTAATTCGTAACCCTCTCTAACACTGTGGCTGATCCCGCATCATTGGATCCTGTTATCTCCTTCTCTGCCGTCCGATCACCGCACACGTGCCGCAACAACCTCGATTATCTCATTCCCCCGCCTCAAAGCGTTACATGTTTACCATACGACCAGTCTCCCCTGCCCGCATCTAAGCTCTAGGGTTTCTTATGCTTCCGCCACTCTCCTAATCCTGAATCGATTTCGCATCGGTAAGCTCGGTTCCTTCCTTCTGCGCATTGCTATTATATTAATTTTCTTATGTGCATTTTTTATTGTTTTTAGTCGGTCTGTATAGTGGTGAAATAAAGAGATGGAGAAGGAGCTGATTGAGCTGTTTGATGCGGTAAAGCGAGCGGCTGATGCGGCCGCAGTTGACGGCGGTGCTGATTCGTCACCGGAGGAGAGTAGGTGCCTTGACGCTTTGAAACGGCTCAAGAAATTTCCTGTCAATTATCAAGTCCTCGTCTCCTCACAGGTACCCTGATATTTCCTCCTTTTTCTTCTGTCGCCATTGTGTTAATACACAATCTCCGGCGTTTTCAGTTTTAGAATCCCCATATTTGTCTGTTCAGTTTAGTCACTGTTGAAACGCTTACAGTTTGTTCAATCTATTTGCAGTCTATATGTACTTTTTTTTGTTGGAATGCAAATCTGTACGTAACAGCGGTTGCTTAGTTCTTCTGATGTTGAATGTATAAGGCATCAAGTTGTATACTAATCCCTCCCTTTCAATTTATGTGGCACACTTTCGTTATTAGTCCCTTCCAAATGAAATGACGCATTTATATATTTGGAAATGATTTAACTTTGAACTTTCTATTTTACACATTTATCCTTAATGAGAATCTTTTATAGCACACAAGTTGAAAGCCCCACAAAAGCTATTAAGTACTCTTAAGCTTTTAAGACCATAACTTCCAAAAGGCTTCCTTTTATTCTTAAACTCCGTGCCTAGTCAAACTATGTCACATAAATTGTAATGGGTTGAGTACTAGTTAGAGTTCATACAGCAATTAGGAAACCTAAGGTTAACCTAGTCTCTGGATTTGAGAAGCTTAAAGCCCTGATTAGACTTTTCTTTGCTGTTCGCTAGAAAATTTGCCAACTGTGATGTTTAAGCATTTGTGCTGAGGATGGAGTGAGGGAGTGAGGATAGAGGGAGGGAGAATCAGTATATCTTCTTACTAATTGAATAATTTTCGGGTTCTTGAAATAATTACTATTTATGGGTTGTTTTTTTCTAATTACTAAATTTATCCTTGTGCCCTAACATTTTACTATTGGAGCTATCCTGAAGCAACTTTGAGTATTCGTTGCGGATAGAAAAACAATATGGACTCGGGGAATGTAAACTTGTGAAATTGTGCTTCTGGTAAATTATAAAAAATGATCAACACAAATAGCCGTGAGTCTAGACCCCGGAGTCATGGATAGAGAGCTTCATTTTGAACATGGTCTCTTGGAGTAGTCCAAAATAGTTAAGGTATATATAAGATGTTTTGCCCTTGCAGATAGAACCTATCGGTCAAGGTGCACACGCCTTAACACCTTGACGCTTATACTAATAGCCCGTTTGGCCAAGCTTCTAAAATCAGCTTATTTTGAAAAGTGTTTTTATCAAAAGTGCTTTTCAAAAAAGTACTTTTAGTTAGAAGTAGTTTGTGTTTGACTAATTATTTGAAAAGCACTTTTGGATAGCAATTAGTGTTTGACCAAGCTTTTAAAAAGTGCTTCTAAGTGTATTTTTTCTCTAAAGTGTTTTTCAAAAAAGTGCCTTTTTTTTTCCTGCTTCTCAAAACATGCTTTTGTCTCTACTCAGAAGCACTTTTTCCCTTCTAAATGCTTGGCGAAACACCTTAACCCTGAAAAAGGCACTTTTGGCCAAAAAAGAAGCTTGGCAAAACATGCTATAAAGTGCCAAATAAGCGAAGCGAAGCGCACTGGTCTTCACCGAGCTTTAAGGCTTAAGCGCGCTTTAAACGTGCCCATAACAATACTAAAAAACATTCTAAATAAGGTAAATGTAGGAGAATGTTTAACTACATACATGGACGTGTCTAAAGAGTGTGTCCCATTCAATTACATTATGTAACATTGTAACATGCACGGGTAAACTGAACACCATTTTAACCCACAAAACAAAGGTTACAAGGTCAAATTACATCATTTGTTTATCCTCAAACTCGTCCTCAACCTTGTTTTCTCCTATTTGTGACTCAAATCTAAGTGTATCCAATGTATCTCTAAAAATCCTGACAGCACACAGTAAAGATCCCAATGCATCAACTGATGAAGATGAGGCACCACTTGCATCTCCAACCTACTTAGAAGAAAGGATTTTAAAGAGATTCTAACAAATTTTTAAGTTAAAATGTGAAATATAATGGAACTTCAATACCGCATGTGGATCAATCAATTGCGAGTTGCTTCTCAAAATGTGCAAATTACTCCAAGCACAATAATTTGAATTGGCATAATAGAACAATTAACCTTATTCAAATCGGTGTTGCTACACCTGACATTGGCTTGTTAACGATGCTCATAACTTTTCAACTAAATAATATAGTAAGACCAGTGTTTTTAATACAACCAGGATAGACAATTATTGAATACAAGTAGAAAAAATAATGGTAATAGTACTCACAAGACATTGGTAGTAGTGCAGCCCTATTGTTTCATCTTGCTATTACCGATGATGACTTCATATCTCCATTACAATAAGGACAAGAGTTGACCAAAAATTGCAAAATTGTAGTGAAAAAGGAAGCCAATATCAGTTGTAAATCCTATGTGAAAACAGACAAAAGCTAGGCAGAAGAGGAGAAATTCCTAACATCTGGTAACATGTCTTTGTTCGTGGCAAAAATTCTCATAGGCAACTAGTGCCACCTCTCGCTTGTCGTAGTTGCAATGGACACTATCTGGAATCCATCAATGTTATGTTGGCATTTCATCCATTCTGAGTACAGTCCGGATTTTTTACCAACAAAGATGACATACGTTCTCATCTAATACCAATAAAAAAAAATACTATTGGCGGTTGAATGCCGGATTTTGTGGTTTCTTAACGTCATATCTATGGGTTCTTCGAAGCTAGCAGTTGAATGCAGGATTTCTTTTTTTCTTAACCTTGTATCCGGTATACCTATATTATAAGAGATAATACATATTTGGAGGATGTCCACGTGTTTGAATGTGCGTATTGGTAATTTTAGCGTGTGCGGGTTTTGCAAATTCATTTCCGCCCCAAGTGGGGTGAGTGACTAGAGGGCAGAACCATCAGGTCTTCCTCTATGGTAGATGGGTCTGAGTTCTACCCCAGCGCCCTTCCCCTCCAAAATTTCTACCCCCTTCCGCCCCAAAGAAAACCCAAACTTTATGAGGTAGCTTAGAGATATCCATTCAAAAGACATTGAAAATTTCTTTTTGTGGGGTCTTGGTTCAAAGGAAATTTCTTATTAGTGCTATCGCAAATTTCTGGGTGTCATTGTTATTGCTACTGCTGCAATTCCCTCTTTCCGTTTTCACTCTGCTTTTGGGTAAAAGACGCGTGGCATTTTTCTGAGTTCATGCTTTTCAGCTGGTTTGTTTCATTTCCCTTGGGGCTTTCCTAGCGATTTTGGAATATCACATACTGGCTGTACTACCTGTTGTTGTTTCTTTGTTCTAGTTATTATGCACTTGAAGGTGCCCATCTGCTAGTGGAGGTACTTTTTTCCTGTATTTGATGGAAAGAATAATGTTTCAGGTGGGCAAACGTCTCCGGCTATTGACAAAACATCCAAGGGAGAAGATCCAGGCATTGGCTTCTGATGTAGTTAAGAACTGGAAGACCATAATTGTGAGAGAAACAATGAAAAATAAGAATGGCAATGGAGTAAACGGGGAATCTGTAAAATCTGAATGTGCTGGAGCTGATGGTGATGAAGCCAATAAATTTCAGAGTGTGAACTCGGTGAAGGTTGAAAAGGTGTCGAGGGGTGAGAATGTGAAGGTTGAGAAGTCAAGCAGGTCTGGGATTTCAAAATCTGAGAGAGCAGCAAAGTCAGAAAGTTCCTTTACCGAGATACAGTCTGAGAATGTCACTGTCTTGAAGACTGAGAGTACTACTTCCAAAAGCGTAAAGATTGAGAAGACACCCAAGGATGAGAAATTGAGCTCTAACGCGGCAACTGCTGCCCCACCAAAGTTGTCTGCTCTCATTTACTGTAAGGATTCTGTGAGAGACAAAGTTCGGGAGCTCCTTGCTGAGGCTCTTTGCAAAGTCTCAGGTGAAGTTGATGGCAATTTGAGGGATGCTGTGAATGCATGTGATCCTTATAGAGTTGCAGTTCAGGTGGAAACTGCAATGTTTGACAAGTGGGGTAGATCTAATGGAGCCCAGAAGTTCAAGTATAGATCTATAATGTTTAACATTAAGGATCCAAACAACCCAGATTTTCGGAGAAAAGTCCTTCTAGGACAGTACCCACCTCGTAGTATTATCGAATTGAGCCCAGAAGATATGGCAAGTGATGAAAGGCAACAGGAGAATCAGAAGATAAAAGAAAAAGCATTATTTAATAGCCAACTTGGAGGTCCTCCAGTGGCCAGTACTGATAAGTTCAAGTGCGGTAGGTGTGGGAAAAATCAGACCACTTACTACCAGATGCAAACTCGGAGTGCTGATGAACCAATGACCACATATGTGACGTGTGTAAACTGCGATAATCGCTGGAAGTTCTGTTAAACTTGATCCTTTCTCAACTATGATGTAGTTTCTAGGTAATTTTTTAATTGTCTTCTTTGAGGCGGTCTCCGATATGCATGGAACGATCGCCCATGCTATTTTATTGTATGGGATATTATGACATCTGAACTGTGTGTTTTTCTTTTCTGAGTTAGCCCTGTAGCCCAATTTTGTTACAAGTAGTTATTTGTCTATTTGTGATTAAACTCTCAGCTCTATGCTTGATCTAAAAGTTTTACTGTGGAGGTGCACTAAAGTTGAATGCCTAGTTTTTTGTTGAATCATTTGGCAACATGAGCTGGCGTGGTTGTCTACTATGGTATGCGATTCCGTTTATACAAACAAAATTTTCAAGTCCTGATCTCTCCTTATGCTCCTGACCCAAAGTCCTAGGGGAGTCAACTTCTCAAAGCATTCCTCTCTTTTACATTTGGTTTTTCTTTCTTCACCATAGAAATTTACAAGTAATTCCCGATTCATGGACATTTCATCTTTCCTAGGTTTAGTGAGCTGCAGGGAAGATGAGATCATGGTTATAACAGCTGCATTTTTCCACGGTGTACGAATACGATACATTTGCATGAGTTTATAGACTGGAACGCAAGATACATTTCTCTTATTCATGTGCAATTACGCTAGTTTTGCAATGATTTTCTGATCGCTGGGCAAGGTACAGTTCTCTTTTTCAAGTGCACTTACAAAATATGAGCTTTAAAGTAAACTTGACACAGGCACTACTTGAAAACGAGTGAACAGTGATGGAAAACTATACGAACAGTATCACATAGTTCTGGAATCATCAATGGTCAATGCACTGATAATGAGAAGCCAGGGGTACAAGGAACTGCCACTTGATGGCTCAGAAACCAGTGTCCTTGACACCACAGTTTTGCCAGAAAGTAACGCCTATTGACTTTCACGGGTTTCCGGTTGTTACATCACCCAGGCTTATATCCAATAATTCGCACACATTCCAACCTGTATAAAACCTTTATTTCATGCTATTTACTTATATATTACACATTTTGAAAGTAATTCATTGATACAAACCTAGGGAGAACCACCCCAAAAGTTAGCTATTAAGGTGGGAGAGCCCAAGGCTATATATACTCCACATCAATATTTTATAGTATCAATGTGGGACTCAAGTCACATTCCTTGCAATAGACCATAACAGAAAGAAACAGAGATGGAGCATTACTTGGGCAAAAAGATGTGTGGCTTTGGCTTTAGTTGCCATTATGTTGAGCAATATTCGTATAGAGGTATAGCGGCCTCAAGGAATATGTTTAAAGGGGAAAGGTTTAATGGCATGCAAACCATCAGTGACACCGCCAAATATGTAAAAATTGCATGTGGCGTCCTATTTGGTCGCCCCCATTTAATCTATACCAATTTTTTTAAAAAGTTTTTAACTTGTACCCATTTTTTAAACAACTTCAGCCCCCTTTCTCCTCCTCCTTCTCCTCCTTTGTTTTCTTCTTCTTCTGATCTTCTTCTTCTTCTTCTTCTTCTTCTTTCTTTTGCTTTTGTTGGTGCTGCTATGAAACTTCACTTCATGGGGATGATTGTCATAAGTATGTTTATCAGATTATTTAAAAACAAATTATAAATAATTTTCTAAAGTAAGTTTTGAAGAAGATGATAGTAACTTGTTGCGACTTACGATTAATAAAGTATAATGACTCTGTAAGAACTTGCATAATCAGTACGTACATGCATGTAAATATAAGTCCATTTCCTTTAATTCACATTCTATTATTTTTTTTTGGATTCAGCTTTATACATTATCAATGCATTTTAACCTGTTGTGCTAAATCATTTATCTAGTTTTTTAAGTTACTAATTCTACTTATGATAAACTTATTATCTGTACAAAAAATCAATTACGTGATAGCATAAAACATGCTGAAGTTCATCAAATAGAGAACAAAACTTCAACTACTAGAATGTTTAAGTTCAACAATTACAAATAAAAACTTCAGCAAATAGAGAACAAAACTTCAGCTACTAGAATGCTTAAGTTCAGCAATTACAAACAAAACTTCAGCAAATAGAGAACAAAACTTCAGCTACTAGAATGCTTAAGTTCGGCAATTATAAACAAAAACTTCAGCAAATAGAGAACAAAACTTCAGCTACTAGAATGCTTGAGTTCAGCAATTACAAATAAAAATTTCAGCACACTTGGTTCATCAATTTTTGCTACTTCAGGCCCGTCTACTAGAATGCTGAAGTTTGCGTGATTGCCTTTGCTACTTCAGGCCCGTATGCCTGAAGTTACGCGAAAAGTGGGTACGCTTGCAATTTTTCTTGCAAAGCGGGTATAAGTTAAAACGAGACCCAAAAAGCGGGTATAGATGCAAAAGCCCTGCCAAATCTGCGGGCACCAACAGCCAAGTGCTGCACCGCACTGTCCAATGCATATATTACATGGGCTACCTTTGCTCTTACAAGAATTACCAGCGGTTGCCTTCCCTGGGATCAGAGGCGGATCTATGATTAAAGGTGGCGGGTGCCAAAGTTTTCTTCAATGTATACCTTATAATAACTACTAATATATAGTTTGTTCGGAACGTTTGTCCGGTACTTTTTTAGTTTATTTGGGTAATTTAATAAGCACTTTATTTGCAAATATAAAAATTATATTAATTTTTTAGACCCTACTTATGGAGTTTCACTGGGTATATATGTTATTATTGTTGTATGAAAATTACATCCCAGACATTAAGAAGCAAATATAATTAACATTTTAAAGAAGGAATCACACTTTTATTATTAATAATACAAGTAAAATCAATATTTTCACTAGGGAGCTACATATTTTTTGTATGCTAAAAATAAAATTGCACAAGTAAAATAAAATCTTTAATAAGGGAACTGTGACGACCCAAAGGGTCATCACCTGTATTCCTACTCCCTCTGTACTTCTGAGGCCCTGAAAACCTCATTTGGGGTTGCCTCGAGTTGTGTGCGCAGTCCGGGCTGGCGTAGCCGGAAAGATTAAATATGAAATTTGTGAGAAAAATTGTTAAATCTTGTTATTTAAATTGATTAAGTTTGACTTCGGTCAACGTTTTGGGCAAAACGGATCCGGACCCGTGATTTGACGGTCCCGGAGGGTCCGTAGGAAAATATGAGACTTGGGTGTATGCCCGGAATCAATTCCGAGGTCCCAAGTCCGAGAAATAAATTTTTATGTGAAATTGTTTTCTGAAAATAATTAAGGAATTGGAAAGTGAAATTTGATTAAAAGACTATGGTATCGGGCTCGTAGTTTGGTTCCGACGCCCGGTACAAGTCTTATGTACGATTAAGCACTTACTGTAAAGTTTGGTTGAATTTGGACGTCGTTTGACGTGTTTCGGACTTAAAACTCTAGACTTGATGTTTTATGAAAAAAATTGGAAGGAAATCATGGGTCTTGAGGCCTAATTTGATGTTTATGATGTTGTTTGGGGGATTTGATCGCACGGATGAGTCCGTAGGATGTTTTTGAGTTTATATGTATGTTCGGTTTGGAGCCCCGATGGCTCGGGTGAGTTTTGAGTAGGTCCCGGGAGGTCTTAGGCTAGAAATATCAGATGGTTGCAGGTTCAGGGAGTTGCAGGCCCCCAGCAGGCCCGCGGTCGATTCCGTGCGGTCCGCGCTGGAAGCCGCTCGGCCGCGGTGCATTCTTGCGTGGTCCGCGAGGCTAGGTTCAGAGGGCCAGAGGTTCAAGTCGACCAGCGCGGCCGCGTGACTAATCAGCGCGGTCCGCGCTGGGAGATTCAGAGAGGGGATTTAGTCCAATTCCTCAGCGCGGCCGCGCACCAAAACAGTGCGGTCCACGCTGGGTGGGTTCAGAGAGTGTGAAATTCCAGCTCCTCAGCGCGGCCGCGGTGCACTTTTGCGCGGTCCGCGCTGAGTTTTTCAGAAGGGTATATAAGGTCGGGATTTTCAGTTATTTTTCACTTTTTCAAAACCCAAAACACAAGATGCGATTTTCCAAACGATTCTTCTTCTCCAAAACGATTGGTGAGTGATTTCCAACTCATTTTCTTTACTCCTTAACATCTTTAAACATAATTTCAAACTTCAAAACAAAGATTTAAATGGGAAACTGGGAATTTAGGGTAGAACCTAGGTTTTCTAAAATTGGGGGATTTTGGACCTCAATTCGAGGTCCGATTCCAAAATAACTTACATATTTGAGTTCACGGGGGGAATGGGTAATCGGGTTTTGGTTCGAACCTCGGGTTTTGACCATGTGGGCCCGGGGGCATTTTTGACCTTTTGGGGTAAATTGATGAAAAAGCTATAATTAGTCATTGGGTTTGATTTGTTTAGCACATATTGATAACATGAAGTCCTTATTGCATAGATTTGGTTGAGTTGGAGCCGAATTCGAGAGGGAAAGCGATTGTGGAGGATTGTATTGGCCGTGAAAGTTGAGGTAAGTGTTTGGTTTAACCCTAGCTCGAGGGATTAGGGGTTGAGTCATAATTGCTATTTGATTTGTGTGGGGTACGACGTATGGGCATGGTGACGAGTATCCATGCGTCGGTGTCAAGCATGACCGTGAGTCTTAATTTTGCTAATTGTGTACCCTTGTTTGATCCTATGAAAATTGCAACTGAATAATGATATTAGTTGTACCAAGGAGAAGTTGAATAGGACTGGTTATAGCTGACCCTCCCTTGTTGGGATGTTTGACTTGCTGTGATTATTCCCTTGCCGGGACCGTATTTGTGTACTGTGTTGAAAGTATAAGGAGCGGGTGGTACGCCTACCACAATTGATATTGAAATGGGAGCGGGTGGTACGCGGAGCGGGTGGTACGCCTAACACAAGTAATATTGAAATGGGAACGGGTGGTACGCCTACCACAAGTGATATTGAAATGGGAGCGGGTGGTACGCCTACCACAAGTGATATTGAAATGGGAGCGGGTGGTAGGCCTACCACGAGATTCATGAGAAATGGGATCGGGTTGCACGCCTGTAACAAGATGAGTTGAATATGAAGGTTGCCTTGTCTTTTCATTATTGTTAGAAGTTAAAAATGTAGATGTACGTACAATTATTCCCGATATTTTGTGCTATCTGTCACCCCCTGAAGTATGTTCCCCTCCCCAGCTTAAATTGTTATGTTCTTGCTATTTCTTTCCGTTGTACTTGCATATATATATCTGCATAGGTTTATGTGGTGTCCAGTCTAGCCTCGTCACTACTTCGCCGGGGTTAGGCTAGACACTTACCAGCACATGGGGTCGGTTGTGCTGATGCT